TTACTGCACGCTACGCTCCTGCGTACTCCGGCTAAGCGCGATCTAATTGATTAACTTTATTCGTTAATAACTCTGTAAATAAAGGTCTGAGCCAAAATTGGAAGAGGAACTTTTAGTTCAAAATTTCATTCTCTTTCACGCCTTGAAATATTAATTAAGCGGGACACCCTGTATATATGTATATGGCTCCAAATAAAATAAAAATTCACAAAAATACTTGCCAATACGAGTCTACACCGTTGTCAGGGCGTTAGAAAATAATTTCAGTCATAAAAGTCATAGATTACGTAATTACGCGCGATACAAATATATGATGAAAATCAAATTGGTACATAGTTACGCATGATACAAAACCATCGAACGTTTCGATCCGTGAATCCTCTTCAGTGATGTAAATTAAGTATCCCCATACGATACCAGTGTATCCCCATACGACTACTGTGTGAGAGATAAGGCCTGGTCCTTATCTCTCACACAGTAGTCAAACGGTAATAACCATTTGACTACTTCGTGAGAGAACTGGTACCATATGGAGATACTTAATTTATTCACTGAAGAGGATCCACATCACGGATCGAAACGTTTGATATCGTTTTATATCGTGCGTAACTATGTACCAATTTGATTTTCATCATTTATTTGTATCGCGCGTAATTATATGTAATATATGACTTTTTGATTGAAATTATTTTTTAATGCCCCATTGGCAAGTGTGAATTTTTGTATCGTCATATCTTTTCCTTATTTTGAAGCTAGATTTTTCATAGAATTTGTCTTTTATGAATATTATATGGGAGACTAGCAATTTCAATACATAAAAGAATACTAGTAGTAGAAAAATCGAATGCTGTAAAATCAATGAATCCTACATCGTGTAACATTCTTATAACTTTAACATTTTTGCACTGTTTTTAGCTACCAATCGAAGATTAAAATCATTCGAACATAAGCTGCAGAATATCACGGAAAATACGTCTCAGAGTAATGCGGCGTCCGATGTTTCTCATTCTGCCAATGCGAAAGTTGTCAAAGATAAGCTGAAGGATAAACTTAAGGACAACAGGATCAAAGAACCTGAAAATGCGGCTGACTCGCGAATCTCTGGTAACGCCGTTGCGGCGAGCAACAAAAATCCTAGGAGAGCAGTGCCTTCCACGGACGCGGTTTGCAAGCTCGAATCTATCAAGAGTGTACACTCGGAGCTTGACATCAAGGATGAGAGTCCGATGTACGAGTCCCACCCGACGAGCCAGCCGTACGAGCAGAGCAACTACGCACCCGCGAATCAGTCGCAACAGTATTATTACATGATGCCGCAGAACACTGGAATCGTGCCCCAGGGGACGATCATCCAGGGCGTCGTGCCGCAAGCTCCGCACACGGGCTACTACGTGCAGCAGCCCTACATGATGCAGACTACGCAGGGCAAATATATATCCGTCGCTCCGCAACAACAGCAGCAACCTGTTGTTTATCAGCAGCAAGGTCATCCGCAGATGATGGCCCAGCCGTACGTCAACAATGCGAATTACGTGTCCTACGTGGCGGTTGCGACGCAGCCTCAAGAGTACATAATTGCACCTGGGCCAATGACGGCAGCTCAGCCGAACCCGCAGAATCCGGTTCAGTATATTCCCAGGGCGCAAAACAGGCAGAGTAACAACAGACACTTGGCGCCGCGACCAAATCCGCAGCATCCTAACGGGCTGGCGACAAGAAGCAACAGCACCACGCCTGTCAGAGGTCAGAGGCCTACCGCAAACTCGAGAAACGCGAGAGGCGACGCTGCTCCGCCGAGGCAAAGGCGGAGAACGTCACAGCCATCCAGCGCGGAGAATAGCGGCCAGAAGGTCACGTCCCTGATCGTACTCAGCGACAGCGACGACGAGATAGAGATGATTATCATGGAGAAGAATCCCGCGGAGAAAGCAGCTTCAACCAACAGAGCCAAGTCGTCGGAGTCTCAGATCGCTCAGTCCAGGCAGAAACCTACGATCACCTCGGACATCATCGTACCCTCGACGAAGGGCATTCTCTCGCCGCAAATCATTCAGCGAATGAGCCAGGGCGGCATATCTATCACGCCGGTGAAGAACAATCCGCCGCCGGCGAACCCCAACACACAGCTGGTGGTGGTCGTGAACGACACCGGAAGTCACTACGCCTTGGCGCTGCCCAACGGCAGCAAGCTCATACTTACTCCGGAGCAGGTGGCGCAGATCAGGGCCTCGAACGGAGGGAAACTGATTTTGTAATCGTGTAATACCGACCATTATTACCCGGGTTACCCAAATCGCGCGTGTCCTCGTTCCGTTTCCTAATTTTTCGCCATCGACAACGTATAAATGTGATACGCGCGAGCCGACAAATTTTATCCACACTGTCGATTTTAGTCATTAGGTTAGACTGCAAAGACAAAAGTTTATTGACACAATTACACGATCTAATCATACGATCGCGAATGTTTGAAAGAGAATTAATTTAAAGATTAGACGATATCTTCCGTTACACATATTATGTACAAAGAATACTTAAAAAAAATATTTTTTAATTCTAACCGTGTTTTCGCAATGTATAGTTTATACTTAAGTGTAGTATAATAAGAAATAGAAATGAAGCCGGAGAGGGACAAAACTTCTATTAAAACTTTTTCGTATCTCTTTCATATTATTGAAAGAAATCGTATATTGGGCCGTATTGATAAAATTTTCGCAAATAAAGCCATGTGTTTAATATATAACATTTAATAATATATAATTGCAAAATAGTGCAAAACATTGCATTGTTGTATTTGTAAAAAATGCAAAAAATGCTTTTTAATTCTCTTTAATAAAGAGCATTGCGAATCGTAATTGCTTCATATACATGATGGATGCACATGAAATGAAATTCGAATTAAACACTCATATCTTTAATTTTGTACAATGAACAGAGCTGAAACAATATTCTATCTAGCGGACATCAATATCTAGAATTTTATGAAAGTTTCATGAATTTCCTAGAAAAGAGGTATTGAGTCGACTATAAGTAAATAGAGAACTGATTTTTGCATGATAACAAAAGCTGCTGCAAAATAAATTACTAAATTAGTAATTTTGCACAAATTGAAAAATTATAATTTTTTGCGTTTTTATGTTTCTAAATTCTAATATTATGTTAATATGTTTGATAATTAAAAAAAAGGCAATTAAACTTTTATTGAGATATCTCAGTTTTCATGATTGTCCTTTATAAATTGTGCTAATACATATTAAGTATTAATACATATTTAGTATTAATACTGTAATTAAGTGCCGCGACACGAATGCATTCAATTTACATGGGAAAACATGTTCTTGAATGTCATCGGAATGAATGTGCGTCGATTCATATAAATCTATGTGAACGCATTGGCACGGCACAATATCGAATAATGTACATTTCTCATGTATTGATTACAGATAACAATATATAAAAAAACAATAGATGGAGAGATATTTCCTTAAATATATTATTCTCTTTTCTCTATCTACATAACTAAGCAACAAAATATTTTTTTATGTATGTTACAAAAACAATTTCTCACTGCGAGAAGAAGGTTTGCACTTAGCATTAAGCCGAGTAGGAACGTTAAATCGTTTAGCACAAGTATCACGAGTAAAAGTGGTAACGTGAGCCAGCAGCGGACCGGGGCTCGATTGATTGTGAGGAAGATGGGACGCAAGTTCTCTCAGTTAATCGGATTACTGGAACTTGGCGATTTTTTTTTTCCCTTGGTTGCATTCTCAATATACGAGACTGATAACATAACGCGTTCGTCATGCGAACGTTTTCAACTGCATTAACGCAAGGCCGTCCGGTCGTCCTTGGATATACCGGCCGCTCTCCTCTACACCTGATTCTTCTTTCGCGCGTACGGTAAATCTTTGTCGAAGGCCAGGAACTTGGACAGGCGTGTCCCGTTGTAAGGCGTGTTACTTCCCGGTGGATGAAGCCTCATCTAGAACAAAGGTCGACGTCAGGCATAATCGTATGCGGAACGATAGCGTAAATAATCGATCCTATGTAATTTACATTCTCCTCTCTCGTACTCGACATTGACGACTAATTATTTATCTGCACTCAATCTTGAAGGACTACGTACCATGCGCCTGACTTTCGATGTGTTCCTCGAGATATCGTGTCGACGATAAAATAATATAATAAACAATATTTATTCTATTAATGCTTTATTCATGTATATATATATATATACATATATGTATTTCTGACATCAAAGTAAAATCTTTATGCGTACACATTGCTGTGATAGATAAGGAAATTTAATTACAAAACATTTCATATTTGCAGATTTATGAAAGGTCTAACACTTTCATTCGGGCGTTATAGAATCGAAAAATCTTTTTTTTTTTTTAAATATTTTACAAAGTTCTATGATTATGTTCTTTTAAATTATTACCGCAAATAGAAATGTGCTAAAGTTTTTTAAGATAATATCCGTGGCTAAAATCGTCCACAAGTATTACAAAGTAAATGCCGGCAATATGATTGATAATATGGCTTGCTAACATATGACTGCTAAAGCTATGCTAGTTGGATCCTCGTATAAAAGCGATAATACTTTCCAAAGCTCCGTCAAGGGGTTAATCATCAATCACCCAGCTCCGATGCGCGCGTCGCGCGGTTAGTTTTATTAATAATGTTAAAAAAAACTTCCCATTGACGAAGCTTAAAAACTAAAGAACCGACTTATTCTTCCTTATCATATCTCGCATTCTAAGACAAGTAGAAAAACGTATGTTATAAAGTATCTATTTTATGAGCGTTTTGCTCGTGTCTGTTAATTATTTTTTTTTGTTATCCACTTCTTCATCTTGAATACTCGATGTGGCAGTGATTTGATTATTATTTACTTATCTATTATGTATTGTTTACCTGCAGGCAAACGTAACATAACGTAATATAATCTACTATTCTTTATTACCGTAATATGAAGAGGTGGATAATTGATTTTAAGGCGATAATTGTTTTATCTACGTCGCCGTTATTATTATTTTATTATAAGTATTATTTATGAATGGTTGAGCTCTCCCTCCGACGCAGCAGCAGCAGCCCCGCCCCGAGCATTAGTATAGTGTGGCTTTGACTCTATTTGGGTTTTATGATTTGCGTGCGCGTGGATTGCGGCCGTGCAGCATCATTTCCCGTTCTACTTCTCGGCGTCAGTGACTCTCGCATTCCCATCCGGATTATTGAATCGCTTCTGCAACGAGAAAAAAGACCGACACCAATCCGTTACACGCGTTTACGGCGTTTTCGATGTTACGATGACAACATCAGATCGAATTTGTTCTCTTTTCTTTGACTTAAGGATTATTTTGTTGTCGCCCGCCAAGCTCTTTGATCTTGTTGATGACGTTAATTGTATCGGGATTAATGATAGCATCTAATTGAATTAAAATTTAAGCAAACTTTCACAAGAGAGCAATACTATTTTTGAATACACCAACAGACGTATTGCTTTTCTATGGATTCTTTACGAGAAGATTCCTTTGAAAGTTTTCTTATTCAAGTTGATTTTGTCTTGGTCATGTGCATGCTGTTTTCCTTATTTTTAAAGCCATATATAAACGGCGTGTTTTCACCTCTGTTTTCGCACGCGTAATTTACCACAATCTCGAGTAAAACTCGACACTCACCATGATTCTGTACTTCTCCTTGCAAGCGTACTCGGTCTCGTCCACGTCGTTGTAACAGTCGCTCTTGTAATCCTCAGGTATCGGACGGCCCTCGAACTGGCAGAGCCTGGAGAGCGGTCTCGCCTTCACCAGCATCTTCTCGAAACCGATCGGCTTGTGTTGCGGACAATAAAACACGTCCGGAGTGTTCTTGTCGAAGACGATGCTCTTGCGCATTATGTCGCCGCATTGCACCGCGACGAGCAGCGTCTACGGCATATATATAGAGACATGATAAAAAATCTTTTTGACTAACATTTATACGATTTACAGAAATTTTTCAGAGAATTGAAATTAAATTTGAATAAAAATTGAAAATTATAATTTAATATTAAAATTAAAAGAATTATAGATTATCTTCGTTGCTTCACGCGCGATTAATCCAGATAAACATATAGAAAAATGTATTTGCTATCGTTTAGCCAATGGAAATAAAAAGACCGTTCCAATTTCACAAGAAGCTTCTCGCGTCCGGAATTAGCTGTGTGATTTCAGTTAATTAACTGTCGTCTTCTCATTCGCTGATGTGTCGGCGCTTTGGTTTTCCGCGCAGAAAATTCTCATCACGACATGCGCGCGAAGGTAACAATCGGCTTCCGGGAGTAAAAAAGCACAGGAAAATGCGTTAACAGGACTGCATTATAACGCATCCCGCAACGGATGAAAGTCCAACCACTTACAGCAAGTGCGACGAGCAGGCTGAAGACGTAAATATTCCCTGTAAGAGCAAAAAGGTGAGTCAGCGTGGAAAAATCAACTGCGCAACGTGTGGTAGAAAAAAAAGGCAGTGAAAAAAGATAGAGAAAGGATCCGGAATATTTACCGGAGGCAATCTACCTTGCGCAAGTGTAAACGTCACAATTTTGCCGTTAAAGACAAGAGAGCATGCCGAAGACAAGAACGTAATATCGAGACGATAATTCATATTACTTTTTTTGTCTTATTCAGCTTTCGTATTCCTAAATATACCGCCATAAATAGATCTTTGAATTACCCTTGAATTATCCTCTCTGAATTATCTTTCACTTAATAACTTTAATAATTTGTTGATTTCTAATCAGCAAATTATATTCAACTTATAAAATTAAAAGTAAATCTTAAAGACCGAAAACGAGCAAAATGTATTTCATATTACATACTATTTTTACGATATCTCTTTGTGTATAGTTAATTATGTATTAATTGAATGAATTTTACGATTGATGAAGATTGTAGTTGAGTCGAAATTAGTACCGGTATTTTAATATGTAATATAAAATACATTAGTTAATAGAACATCTAATTGTTTTCTCGTTTTCAGTCTCGAGGTTTACTTTTAATTTTATTTGTCTTTGCGATTTACGAGCCGTATTTATAGTATTTTCTTCCTTTTATAAAGTAGCCCTTTACCATGTTCTTAGTTTATGCAATTCGTTCACGATCGCAAAACTTGCCGGAGGCCCGTTAATTATGATTCACATTCGAATAAATTCTTCTAATCACAGAGAGTTACAGCCGTAATTGCGATCACGGATCCTGATAAGACTTCTCTCGTCTTTTTTTTTTGCTAAATCGTATTTTTAAGCACAATAAATATAGATTATCTTAATTACCTAACTCTGAATTATCTTTATCTGAACGTTGAATTAGCCTTCAATTAATTACTTGATTAATTTGCAAGTTAAAAAAACCGATAAATTATTCATGTAATTAATTAAATAATTTGCAATTTAAAAAGCCGACAAATTATTCATGTAATTTGATATAATTTGTTCCTTAAATTATCAAGTATAGTCCAGTAAGATTAACGTTCCTCGTGCAATTCGTTCACAATCGCAAAAGCCGCCGGACGTCCGTTAACTGTAAAGATTCAGAGATTCGAATAAAATTTCTTCCAGTCGCAGAGTCGCGTAATTACGATCGCGATTCCCGATAAGATCTCTCTTCTTTTTTTTTTCCTAGCTCCGCGAGTCGATTAATGTATATACACGCTTGTTTCCACACTTTTCGATTCTAGGTCAGCATTTACTATCTTCTCGCACCGCGCGTTCGCTCGTGTATTTTTTTTCACGGTCAACGGCCAGAGCTCGGCCTCGGGAAGCGTCGCGTGCGAACGTTCAACGCTTCTTTCTCTCTTTCTCTCTCTCGTTTCACGCTGACCCAAAATCAATCGAACGGTCTCGGCTTTTTGATATTATCGTACGGCTCACGAAACTTTCCCCCGTCATTTACGCAACACCCCACGCATATAACATATCCTGGTCCGCGCGCAGTTGCATTGGCCGTCACATAAATTTGCGTCACCGTCGAATAAATCTCGCCGATCCATTCGATTTAAGGTATAGCGCGCCTTTCTCTGTTCTCAAAGAAGGGAATAATTTTGCCCGACAAATATAAACGGAGAAGAAATATCGCTTCGTCGATATTGATAGCTGTTGCGTAACACGTTCAACTGCACACACCAAGATGCATCTGTGCATGACATTTTCACCGCGAGACATTTATCCGTGACATTTCACCCAGCATCCGTGCAGGTCGAGTAGATTGTTAATAACCGGGCGAATCGAATTTAATTACCGGAGTTCCCTCTCGTTTTCTCGCGTATTCCAATATCTGCCTGTAATTTCTGACGGTGAAGCAATTTGCTCGTCACGTTATTTCTCACCTTCACCTGCAGTTTGAGGCGGATAATTCATACCTGGCATACGCGGGAAGTCTCAAGTTCATTGTACCTCTAATATGCAAAACTTTCGCCGAATTTCACGACGAACTGCACTACAAGTGAAACTTTGCGAACATTTCAACGGGCGCTACTTTAAAATTAAAGAAAAATTTATATTTAATTAACACAGTAACGAATGTCAGATAGACATTAAACCGATATATCGAAAAACCAAAATGATAAAACGCTTAAAAGATACATGATTTTTTGTTCGTTTTCGCTTTTAGTGTTCCAGAGATAGGTAATTAAAATTGCTGGATTACAACGATTCTTTAAAATATTTGTGATATAATCGAACGATAATATCAAAGGTCAGGGAGACGCTAAAAAAAGATATCTAAAAGATATCCAGAAAAAACGTTTAGAGAATTAAAACATCTTGTTAACATTATTACATTCTAAACGTTCAATAGAAATGAATTATTAAAACAAGAGCAGTATCATTTCTTTAACATTTGCAATATCCAGGAAAGCTAAAAAGAGCTATATATTTAAAAACTAATTAATGAGCGTCTAAACAAATCCGAATTCTCTTTCCACCTCTCATTTTGGCATCTGGGAACGGTTCAGTGGTAAAAATTGCCCGACCATAACGAAACTCGCTTAAATTTATACCGAGACCGTGACGCGAGAGCTGCATATACGTATACGAGGAAGGATCTAGGATCGTTTTCCGCGGAGCGAGATTCCAGCGTGACGCGTTGACGCGGCGCGTGAGATTCGCGTGTCGCGGAGCGCAATATCCGACCCGTGCGCTCGACCCGTTTCGTCGGACGGGGACGGCAAGGTGTCAAGGTGCAGCCAGGCACCAAGTCGAGTGCTCGACTTACCCATGCTTCTCGGGCGACGGGCGTTCGCTCGCACCTGTTGATCCTCGCGACGCGGCGTCTCCTCGTCGACTGAACCCGACTGAATCGCCGTGTCCTCGTCCTCCCCGCCTGAGAACGCCGTCCGTTAGGCAGCACGGATAGTAGCCGCCGATTCGCGCTGCGAGCTCGTGGGTTGAATAGCAAAACATCGTTGCTATTCAGCAGTTCGTGAATATTCGTGAACGCATCGCGATAATTGACTTTAGAATATCACAATAAAATCTGACATTCTATATACCGTTGTTGCAACTAGAAGCTTACATTTTTTTTTACATAATTTTTTTACATACGAAATAGCTTGAATAAGTAACTAAATAATAACTTGATAGTAGCCAGGTCTCAATCTGATATCAATAAGGCTTCCGTTAACAACACGGTATATCTCGAGTAAATAAAATAGTTCCAATAATTAAATGTTTCCTGAAACAAAACTATGTGAATGGCATCACACAGTCATCACGAAATCATGCGTTTAGGGCTTCGGAGTGTCTTGATTCGCTGCTGAGTACAGGACGCTTCAAGGATTGTCGACGAGAAATCGCGCGTTTCACAGACAATCGGCCTCACGCCGTACCAGATCTGTTCCCTTTTATAGATACAGGATGAGTCGCCACGCCATCATCCTCGCGAATCGAATCGATGAGATGATTGAATAGCTATGTAGATCAAGAGAGTACATTACAGAAGTCAATCTGCAAATGTATTATACGCATCTACTAATGCTTGCCACGAATAAAATTTGAATTTCACAAACGCATATAAAGTTCATTAATGTTACAAATTCACAAAATTACCTTTTTCTTCAAACTTATTATTAATTACCAAATTTTTCTTCTTTTGGATGAGAGCTATATTGCAAAGTATCGATAAAAAAACCTTCGCTTTTCCAGATTATTATATCGCCTTCGTCTATTCTAGAGTAAATCTCTAATCAATTATTAAGCATAGCGTATGCCGTCATGTTCAGGTGCTAACGGATTTTTGGTAAGTCGAGGATAGAAGGTAGGCGTTACGTGGGTGAGCGACCTCGTCTTTCCCTTATTCAGTTAACGATAGTGTCATCGTTACTCTTGGCACGAGAAAATATACCGAAGAATAAGAACTATTCTGGAAAAAAAAAAAATAAATTCTATACACTTTCTCACACTGCAATATCAACATTACATCATTTTATTATTACTGAAATGCATTGATTTCATTCAACAAGTATATAAAAAATATATTAAACGGTTTTTCAAATCATTGAAATTATAATATATGTGATTATGAAGACATAGGAATTCAAAAGGAACAGTTACAGCATAATTGCCAAAATAGTGCCAGCAGCTCCTTAGATATCAGCCTGTAAGAATATTTGAATCATTAAAGAAGTCTATTGTATATAAAAAAAAATCATATATCCAAAATTTGATGAAACATTTACACAGCATAAAAGTTTATGTACTTACAATGTCATCAAAATCGAAATCGCATGCATCAGATAAATCGATATTCTTCGATTTGTCACTGTTACCGTTTACGGTATCTTTCTCCTCCTCTTTTACTGTCTGCGTCATAGGCACATCATTATTAACGTCGGATTGTTCATCCTCCTCTTGCGATTTATAACGCCTAAAGGAATGTACATTTATCAAATCGATAGTATTAAGTTGATTTCGAGTAAATTTTTAATTTTTTTTTTTTTTTTTAGAGAGGATATGTGCTCACCTCTTTCTATTGAGAGGCTTCTTTTTCTCTAAGAAGAACAAGTTTTTGATCCTTTCGATCGCTGGCGCACTTCTCTCTTTCACTTCGGGTTGCTCGAAAATATTTAACACTTCTTCGGCGATAGGCGGCAACGGTTTATCCGGATTAAGCGCGCGATGTGCTAACACATCCCACATGCGTTGTGTTCCAGAATCCGGCACACATTCCGGTAAATATTTCTGACTAACGCTGTCATCGGGCAGCATTGGTGTAAAAATTCAATAGATAATTAACATTATATTACAAATATTGTAATACAAATATTGCAAAAAAATATATTTGTCCTTCATATTTTATCGGATATATTTTATATTTAACATAAATATAAAATATATCCGATAAAATATGAAGGACAAATATAATTACACCAATGCCGACGATATATGCTTACGTGTCGGGCAATTCTAAGGACTCTAACAGATCGTCCATGGCATCGTCCTGCTCCTTCGACAGTTGGTCCATCACGAATTTCAACGGTCTCTGCGCTATTGCTCCATAATCTCGCTCGAATGGCAAACCAATCTCAATAAGACACTGTCACAAAGAAAAAAATCTTCGACGTGATTATCTGATTAGCGAGATATTTCAACATTAGAAGAGAGAATATTATAAAAACAATATTACAGAGAAATATTCTTACCCATGGTTCATTCGGTACGTCAACACTTGGAAATAATGCCATCATGTTAGCTTCGCAGTTTGCTCTGTAGACTTTCTCCACTATCGCGACAACGTTTTTGTCAACCATGGCTTGCACCAGACTGTAAAACGGCTCGCTTGCCGGCTGTAAGGAGTTTCTCAGTTATTTTTACTGCTACATCAATAGAGTTTACGGCTATTATATGACAGAGACCCTGTTATCGTACCTCGGTAGCGGGTGCAATAACGTACGAGCCATCCGACAGCCAATATTCCATAGGAATGTTTTCCCGCGCAGTGAAACAGTGGATCTTATAACACTGCCTTGTCTTGTCTTTGAGAGTCATGGCTTCCTTAGATTCATCTACAATCGGCACATTGCAGACATCACAATCGTCTGAATTTATATTACATGGGACAAGATTAGCTGTATATAAAATTAAACACGAATTACCCGAAACAGGAATAGCCTTGCCACCGTATACATAGCCGCGGATAATATCCTCTTTCGTGTAAGGGGTCCTGTTGTTGTCCGTCCATTGTGCGACATTCTTAATCGGCACTTCTTGATCGGGCATACTGGATGTACTTGTTTTAGCCATCTGTCTCATTTCCGGTAACTTCACCTCGGTCGGATTCTTACAACGTAAATAAATTGTAAAAAATATAAATTTGTAAAAGACGGTAAACTGTTTTACGTGCACTAGAGCATTACTTTGGAAATTCCAACGATCGGAATGCGAAAGTCGCCCAATTCCATTTCGCAGCGCCACGGATTCGGTCTAGTCGAGGGTCGTTTGTAGAAGCGCACATCCGACATAGCATGTTCAAAAGTGAGATACTGACCGTTAATCTGCAAAATATTATATACTAATTATACTCATTATATATTATTTATTTCATTATTATTACTTATCATTATTTTATTTTACGTAATTACATACAATTTATCTTCTCATATAATTTAATAAATCTGCCCACACATTTGCTCAAATTACCTGTTCCAGAACATTCATAAGTAACGTTTCACTGGCTGTTTGAGAATCTTCATCTATATCGTGCAGTGTTCTCTCTCCACTACAACATACCATAATTTTTTGTTCTAATTAATATTTTTATTATCATGTTTCATATTACTGATTTACTATAATTTCTATTACTAATATTAACAGCAAAGTTAAAAGTCATACATTGCTATAAGTGAAGTTTCTTCTGAACGTAATGTCTCTGCGATATCCTCTGCCTGAAATTGGTCAACGACGTTCTCTTCTTCGTCGAAAGTAGACAACAGGATTATTTTTCTGTCAGATTTATCTCTGCAATAAGCAACAAATTTAATATGTATTGACCAAAAAAAAAAAACTTAACAAATTTAAATATATATAATTATTAAATTATTAATTAAAAACTTAGCAAATTTAATATATATTGACTAAAAAAATTTAACAAATTTAAATATATGTAATTAAAAACTTAGTAAATTTAATATACGTATATTGACAAATAAAAACCTTGACATTATGCAGATTATGCTATTGTATATTTTAATACACTTACACGCATTCGTGCTGAATATATTTGACCGCGGCGTCAATTGCCTCCATCCAAGAACTAGTCTGATTTGTGGGCTGCAGTTTCTCGATGCTTCTTATCAAATCCCAGTTTCCAACCTGCATGCTACACAGCTCGTGTACATTTTCCATTTCTATAATACTGTCGCTTGTAGTGCTATCCGAGCCCATCAATATCACTCCTACTTCATCGTTGGGACGTAGGAATATCTGCGCAGTGTTTTCGCAATTAACAGACATGTAGATTATATGGAATAATTTGTTATTAACGGTACGACGAAGAGGAACACACCTTCTTCTGAATGATATGTTTAAGAATATACTTTTCCTTATCCAACAGCTGCGAACTGCTCTGTGTGCCATGACGGACGATTCCGACGTTCATCACAAACGTTATACACTCCTATCGGACATAAAATACAAAAATTCAAATGTTTCGAACAAAACGATTCAGAATAAAAATAAATTGAAGGCTCGTAAGAATAAATCAAATGTATTAAAGTCGTGACTATCAAGCTGACATTGGTGTGTATTGATTTTTATTACAATATCCAACCACATAAAAAACTGCGCGCCGCAATATTTGTCGGTCTTGAAATACCAAATATCGTATTGTATAATGTATGAAATAGGAATTTCCTTACGAAACACAGATATTTCACAATTTATCTTATTGCGTTTGTATAATATTCTAATCGCGACCCGGCATGGCTTGACATAACATATATATATAGGCTTGACATATTATATTATGATTTTTTATTTAAATTTTTTAAACACTTGACACCAAGCCACTACCTGATGTGTATAACTTTCAGATCACCTTATCATCTCAACTCGAACGAGACTCGATTTAACTCGAGAAAACCATTCGAATACCTTTAATTTCCTTGGCGCCATTCCTTTAGCGTTACCGAAGCCCTCAAGGTTTTAGCAGGAACAGTCCTATTGACACAATTTCCGGAACCTCTGTTCGACGTATACCCAAGTTACATCAGAAAAGTGCCGCCGGGAGCGAGCCTAAACAACAAAACTAGGCTGTCTTTCGTGTTCACATTTAATGTATTTTCTAACCGTACATTCACGATTCTGTGTACCTACTTAATTCGACTGTTGATTATTATAATGATTTGATCGAATCGAACTCGGGACCTTTGAAAGGAAGACTTTGATCTGTTCCGACACTTCCGACGGTACCGGGCGGCTTCGTCCAAACGCCTGAAACGTCAAAATCAAACGTAACCTAACTTGCGTGTCACGTGACAGTTCATGGTTGCGTTCGAAACGTCACTCGAGTGCCCCCCCCCCCTCCGCCACCGCGTATATCGTCTTATCCTTCTCGTTTACCGAATGTTGAACAAGGATAAAATGATGCACGAGGGCACCTCTGGTGACGTTTCCGAACGCAGCCTAACCTAACGCGGGCTCTACGCGCGCACACACACACACACACACACATGACATGTGATACATGTGCACACGTCAGAATTGTCAGGTCGTTTTCGTGTGCTCTCGTGTCGAGCTTGTGGATCGTGTGTCGCGTGGGTCGTGCGATCGTTTTTCTGCAATTAAAACACAAAAATATGGTACTTCTGAACGCGCAATTTATTCTGTTAGTAAACCTGGCCCTGCTGTCGATTCATACCAGCGTAGGGGAGAACAAATACTCCGCCGAGGCGAACAAGGCCAAGTATGATGTGGACTCGTCGCAACTCCCGACGTCTCTCAGAGACCTGGACAAGCCGTTTAGGATGGCGAAGTTGAACGTGCTTTGGGTTAAGGCCAAAAACGTGAGTGACGAATTACATGTAGAGCATAATAATTAGAAGTGTATTAAGGATGTTTAATACGTACAATAGTAGCAAAAAGTTAAAGGACTGATTTTGACGAATATGCTCTTCTCATATAGTTTGAGTAATAAGGATTGTGCAGAATGTTATCATTTATTCAGAACTAGAGCACAGAAATGCTTCTGTTGCTTTTTTCCTGAGAATTTTCGAATTCTATGGCCAAATCTAACCAAAAAATTCAAATTAAAATCCTTTATAACTTTGGATTGCTTCAGTAAATCGACTCCGGCTTTGTCTTAAGTCTTTCAACATATATAAGAACAATCTGTAAAATTTT